CGATAATTGATCTCGTTGCAGAGCCGAAAACTGGTTTCCAAATCGCCTTCAATATGTTCGATATCGACGGAAACGAGAGAGTCGACAAAACCGAGTTTCTCGTGGTAAGATAGCTGCATGAGTGCTGTTCGTTTTTGGTAATTGCAGATGCAGGAACATTACAGCTATTAGTAAAAACTCGTTTGTTAATTTTTCCCCTTTCTACTTCACGAGATAAGATTTAAGTTCGCCTCGTTCCGATAGCAGCGGAAGAACAAGTGTCTCCTTCTCGAGCTATTAAATCGTAGATTTGTCTTTTCAGCGAGTAGAAATAGAATAGAATTACTTGGAGCAATAATGTTGCACATTACATTGCATCCTGATTTGAATGAATAAGTTTTACTAACATTGTCCATTGAATTGTATTCTTACTCGCCATCTTCTTAAGAGTCAAAATTGTAGTGGTAGAAAAGGGGCGTTTCCACCTTCAAATATCAAGAATGTATTTTTCTTTTTCCAAAAGATACAAGTGTAAGTTGAAGAATGCGAAACTTTACCGAATTCTGGTTTGCACGTGCTAGGTGGAACATTTAGGGGATGGACGTGCCAAGGAGAAACTTCTATCGCTAAGAAACTTTTGTACTAATTGATCGATTAGCATCAACGGAGTTTTTGTTGTTCTCGCAGATTCGCCGTTTACTTGGCGGCAGCCTGAGGAACGGGATCTCGACGAGCCGACAAAACGTGCAGTGAGTTTTAGAAAAGTTTCAGAAAACCTATCCCTCAATCAGGACGATGTCAGAAGTTGAACATCGACCGGTGTTTAGAAAATCAATATGTGGATGCCGTTATATCTTTTTCAGCTGTGAAATCATCCAACGGCAGTTTGCTATTCCATTTATCGCCCTGAACTGTTTATTTTGCGCGAGAGAACTTTGAATTTTTTTTTAAATGTATCGCGCGTTTTAAAATTGCATTTCTCCCACGAACGTAGAGGAAAGTATCCCCTATTATGAGATAGGCTCCTAATATGAGATAGCGAAATCTGTTTAGTGGAAAATTGATTGCCAGACTGTGTAATCGTAGCGAGAAAAGATCTGCGATTGAATTTGGACGTTGAAAACCTACTGTCTCACGTTAGAATCTTATTTCATAATACAGGACTTTCCTCTATATCGTCAAGATGAACGACTCGCTTTTAAGAGTTTCTTGATAAAATTTTGAAAGTCCGTTATATTTCAGAGTATTATATGCTAATTTTATTGAATATTAATATCTATTCGATGTCTTAAAAAAAAAGATTTATCCAGTGTTCACTTAGTATTATTAATTATTGTTTGCAAGTATTTTGTTGCAATAATTTCGAGATTTTTCTTTTATTACTTTCACAATGCGCTGTTCTGCGAGGCTAATGCTTGTTTTACTTATTTCAACAAATTAGTTACGTGCCATAATGGCCCCGAGCGAAGAGATTCTAGGCAGGGCGAAACTTCGCGAAGCTCATCCGAATAAATCAAACGAAATCGTCCCAAGTTCTTACGTAAGTCTGCAAATATGTAAAACGCTGTAAATTACGCTGTTGTGTTTCAATGTTAATTTACGGGGGTTACATTTTTTT